GTTCCGTGATGATATTAAAGCAGAATGAACGCATGCTTGGCAATGCAGAGGGCAATGAAGAGGAATGATAAAAAATGTTCCATCGTTTCGCGTTCACTGACGACTGTCAAAACTTATAACCACATGCCCTAAACGTCGGCGTTAAGCCCGCGAGCACAGCGGTCAAAATCTCGTCTGATATCCACTTCATGTAGCCACCATGACCAGCAGCTTGATGCGCTCAGTGACAGCGTCGTTTTCCTTCATCAACAGCGCCAGTCATGTACTCAACGGTCGGCGTCTCACGTCAACGGGCCCGTAACCGTGGCTGCCGGCGCGGCGCTCAGTGGGATATGACCCCTCTAATGGTCGCCGAGCCCGCGCCGAGCCAGCGGCGGGCCGGCGCGGCGGCGCCGCAGTCGACTCAGCACCACTCCGCACTCAGAAAGGATTGCGCGAATATCTCCGGCGAATGGGTTTGCCGGACTTTTGGCCAAGTTAAATTGCTCGCGATGTTAGCGTTGAGCGTGGATTGTCTCAGATGACAGCTGCTGGAGGGAAGATCAAGTTCTGAAGCGCCGCTTGCAGGGATAATGGGTCTCAACGAGTAACTGAGAAAGTGTGTCAAACTCCTGGGCATTAACGTGTTTGGTATAGTCTTGAGTGGGTTTAGGCTATAGATGGTGAATTCGATAACAAAGTACTTCGATTAAATCAGGCTCAAGTCACGCTAATGCTTCTTTGTAAGTACTTTGGGATGGCGTTGATACCGTCCCAACGTTCAGTTTTTGGAACAAGCAGCTCGCCGTTGTTGGAATGTCTCTGCTCAAGTGAAAGCCATTTGATGTAACCAGCGTATCAACGCCGTTTTATTTTCATAGCTCTCTGGCTCATATAATCGGATAATGCACCAGGGCGGTCGTCTGTTTCCAGATTGCACAGGCTAGATTCGTGACGCCTATTTTACTCACACACAATTCTCAGGAAGCGTCGGGTATCCCTTTCCGCTGCGAGAGAGGCGGCGAAGTTCTCCGGGAAGACAGCTCCACTCCATTAGGGTCCTTCCGCCCCAGCGCGGCTCCTCACCCCTCGCTGCGCTATCCTGCCCCGCGACTCGCACCACGTCGCCCGCGGCCGACGCGACGGCGAGCCAGTCATCGACACAGTGGCTCACTTTTCTGTTTAATTCACCCTCATACCAGCGAACGTGCAGTCTCGGTTTGTTTTGACCGTCACGATTGGTTGGTGCGCTTAATATTCCACACTGAAACGGCCCATAATAGCCGCATCTGTATCGTGGATTTAATAATTTAGTGAAAAACAACCCGGCGGGCCGGGAGGGGACGGAGCGGCTGGTGCCGCGGCGAGGCGCCGGCTGGTGGTGGCCTGTTGCTCTGACAGCTGGAGAGGGGAACAAGGAAAGGGAGAGTGAGGGGAACTGACGACGGGTGGATGAGGATACAAGAAGGGTGGAGGAGAATACAAGACGGGTGCATAAATCCTAGGCAGCATCTTAGAGCGAAAGCATATTGCTAGTTCAAAGAATCACTTTATTATTTTGAAATATCTACGTTTTTGGCTGCAGGAGCACGGTGCAGATATCATATTCCTTTGTCATTTTGTGCATAGGTGGTATGCGTGCGTAAAAGCACTGCCTTTATCATATGTCTCACAATATCTTGTTCGATTCGTTGGAGGTGAGCTATGGCTAGTTTGAGCATAATTATGAATATTATGATGGCAGAAAATGACCTTATGCTCATGATACAATGAAATGATATTAAAATAAGTCCGAAAAGTATTATGATACATTTCGACTTGCGTCGTCTTCACTTTCAGGCTAATACTTTTTACTTAATAATACTTTTTGGACCTATTTTATTATCATTTCATTGTATCATGAGCATAAGGTCATTTTCTACCATCATAATGTCTCAAAATACCCTAAACGTCCAGCACTAACTATTAAATCAATTATTATCGGCTCAATATGTAACGATACAGATTACCATAACCTTAAAAATGAAATTATGTCACCACTCGTTTGACAGAGCTGCAGTGGGCTGAATCATGCTGTGATAAATCCTTTGTCGTCGGGCTTACTCATGATGATGAGTGATTCGGTCGGTCAGCTGTCTGTCCTATAGGGGAACTGTCATCGACACCGCGCCCCCTGCCGTCACCCTCCCCCCTTCCACCGTCACACCACGCCCCCTCCCCCCCACCGTCACACCGCACCCTCGTTACGTCACAGAGAGAGGCACCCCGTCTGACAGTCCCCCCGACAGCCACCTGACAGCTGCCTGTCACGGCCGGCCGCGGCTGACAGGCGTCTGCCAGGGACGGGACAAATGTCACGGTCGTGACAGACACTGCAGATGCGGGCACGGTGGTGACTGACGTGACGGTCGGCTGGTCGCGAGGGGGTGAACGTGTGATTCACTTATTGTGCTGTGATCCGGTTTAGTCCAGATTGTTACGTAATTTCGAACATGCCCACGCCGTAACCCTAACGACTGCCCCGTTAAACCGGCACCGCCTGGGCTATTTCCATACCCACGACAGCCTGGGGGGTCGGATCCGACCCCCCCCCCTGTTATCTCGAGAACCAATGGTCGCATCGAGCCCCGCGAGGCGGCGTTCGAAAGGTCTCTACGAGACCTTCCCAAAGCACCCTTAAGATTTTAAGATTGAGGTCAACTTTCGGGTCAAGGTCAGGTCAAAGGTCAAATTCTGGGGTTTTGCATGATTAGGCTTACGGACAGCGGAATCGATAGCTGCTGCTCGAAACTCACCAATAATGACCTCAAAGACCTAGTGAAGGTACCATGTGCGTATGGGGGTCATACTAAGCACGGGTCAAGGTCAGGTCAGGTCACGAAAGGTCACGGTTTTCACTTTCTGCTACATGGGCGTGCGTAATGGTTATATGTGACCCCAAGTCACTATGCTGGTGATAAGTGTGCATTGAAAGCATAAAAAATCGTTTATACCATACATAACTGAACGAGGGCTGAGAAAAAGGTCAATTTTTCAACTTTTTATTTTTGACATAAAAATGCACTTATCTAGACGAGCTTTGTCCCAGGAATCTAGTGGTGCCATTTGTTTTCACATGCGATGTTCAGAAGTGCCTCTAATTCACGAAAATGCTTATGACGTCACCATGCCCTATGCATGTTGGAGCTATTTTTTACAATTTGGGGGTCAAAAATCAAGATAGAAAGTTGAAATTTGGGACATCTAATGTTCTAATAGAGCTCTATAACATATATTCCGTTTTTTTGGAAATTCTAAAAATTTTGGATTTTATTAGCTGTTTTCCAAAAAATATAGTTTTTTGAATTTTTAGAGGTGAAAAACGCATTTTATGGAAAATCCGAGATAGCCATTTTAAAGAACTCGTTAAGCTCCGTCTTTTCATGTCCTTAATTTGCAATTTGCTTTAAACCCTGATTTTTGGCGATTTTTTAAACATTTACCACTTTTTGACTAAAAACACCATGTAGTTACATCACTAAAATCGCTATATCTCAAAAATTTTTAAAATTTTTTCTTAAAAATTACACAGAAGACGTCAAATTGATGGGGGAGAAGGTATGCCAAGTTTCAAGTTGATAACGTAAGCGGTTCTTGAGTTATTCAAGAAAAACGGAGGGTGGGTCGGATCCGACCCCCCAGGCGGTCGCGGGTTAAAACCCGCGCCCCGTAGGGGGGCCGAAACGGCCCTCCCCCCCCTGTCCATTTCCCTCGATATCTCCTAAACGGCTGGAGATATCGCCACCAAACTTTCAGGAACTCTCCGGACATCAATTTTACACATTATGACCAAAAAATTTTTTCCAGAGACTATGATAGGTTGGCCACAAATGACGTCAGAATGACGTCATGTTCTGCCATTTTCGACCGAAAAAAGACCTTCGCGAAAAGAGCTGTCAGGCCTACAGCTTCAAAGATACAGAAAAATGATCTAGACATAAAAGGTGTAAAATTGACAGGGCTACAAAACTGCTATCTCGGATTTTTGAAATTTTTGAGTTTTGACCCCCAAAAATAAAAAATGCAATTCTTTGGATATACTAGCCAAAAAATCAAAAAAGTTTTTTTGAGTTTCGAAAAAACCGGAATATATGTGCTAGAACCTACCGTCTTCTATCGACATACCAAATTTCAGATCGATATCTCGTTTTTTGGCCAAGTTATAGCGAAAAAAAAAACTGTGCAAAAATGATGACGTCAAATTTTCAAACTCAATTGTTGGCAATTCTAGACCACGTAGAGCAAAATAAAGACCACCATTGGACTCCCCGTGACGAGCTGTATCGAATGGATACCCGTTTTATGCAAAAATATCAACTTTGAAATTTGACCTAATTTGACCTGACCTTGACCTGACCTTGACCGAAATGTGACCTAAGCTGGCTCCAAAGGCTGTCTGACCCACATAATCGCATTTGTCATGTAAAATGGACCATAGTCCTAACGGTTTAAATTACGCCTAAATGCTATGATGGCATTTTTCAAAATCGGCTTAGATTGTGCCATGGAAACGTAACCAATGTCTCGGTATCGTAATTCCACTATCTGGCAACTAGCCCTATGTAAACGCGGCTAATGATAATTCTGATTCCAAGTAAGGTGCGGAAAGCCTCTAAACCAAAGCTGGAAATCAACACCTTACTAAAAGGCAGACATCCGACTGAACCGGACTAATGGCAGGATAAGAACGAAGACAGAAACCCTCCGCTGACTGAATGGTTGGGGTGTGAGGCCACAACCAACCAAAAAGCTATCAACGGACGCGAGGTTTACGGTAACGGGTGACTAGTACGAGCATGTAGCGTTAATTTTTAGCAATTCCCGGATACGGGGCAGCCGATGGCCCGGCCCCCAGGCTCGTCATACTACTGCGCCGTCGGTCAGTTCCGAGGTAAACAGTCATCCACTGACCTTCTGTGAACACTTTCTGCTGACGTCCCATCCACTGGTCAACATGAAAAGGTCATTCACAAATCATATAAAAACAGACCTGTGCACCACAAGTCTCCATTAATGCGTCCCACAGCGACCAGCATAACGTTGTAATCATGAAGAGCTCTGTCCTTGCTCTGTGCCTGGCCACAGTTTTGGCAGTACTTTACGTGTCGGTCGATGCTCATGAGGATCACGGACATGATCACGGCCACAGTAAGTTGAACAGTCGTACAGGGTGTTTCACAATAAATGTTACTTTTGATAAGCTTTACAAAGATCTCAACTATTCGGATGCCCATAAATTCTATATTCATTTTGTTGCAAATTCTTTCCGGTTTTTAATCCTTACAAAACTATGAAAAATCATCAAATGCTCATTCTTTATGTACGTTCAATGTCCACACAATCAAAACGGGTCAATTCGCTGTTAAGCTTCAGGGTCCTTCACAATGAATGTTGCTTTTCAGACGACGAAGTTTCAGTGACAGATGTATTGCATAGGGGTCATTAGCATTACCACATGAGACAGCAGAACAGTAGGACTTATGAACATGCATAGCTTTAACTTCAGCACCCTTCGCGGGTCCTCCACTGTGCCACCCATCCGTCTGACTTTTCCAACCAGATTTTCTGGGATCGCCGTCCGGCCAGGAGGCGAGGCTGGTCTCGTGCCTAACCTTTTTACCACCCGTTTGAAAGCCATTTTTGACGGAATATCCTTCCTCCTTTTAAAATGGGTACCGAAACTTCGTCGCACCGCGGTCAGACTCCACAAAGCGCCGTACTGCATGACCACCCATACCGCCTCATCATCTGAAAACGGCGAATTGACCCGTTTTGACGGTGCTGGCATTGCACGTACATACAGACGGAATCGTTGACGGTTTGTTAAAAAAAAAATTGTAAGGACTAAAAACCGGAATAGATTTGCAGCAAAATCAATGTAAAATTTACGCGCTTACGAACAAGTAAGATCTTCCTATAACCTATTCAAAAATAACATTTATTGTGAAACATGTATTTAACCCTCGCCCTAGCAGGGGGGGGGGGGCGATGCGACCCTCCTACGATTTTTCAAAGATAGCGTAAAAACGGCGGCGCGCAGCGTCGCCAAATTTGGCACAGCCTATGCGGCAACCTTTTTACATATGACCTAAAAATTTCAGGTCCAGTCCTTACGGATCCCTCGATAAATTAAAGATCGGGATCTATGATCCTGTCAATTCCGAGATCAGAATCCGTACAGAACCCAGATCAATTTTCTCGGTTCCAGGCACATGTCAGATTTTAACGTTTCTCTACAAAATTGAATTTTATGTCGTTTTTAATCCCAACACGACAAACTGTATAGTTATATGCGTTGACAGCATTTCACTTGAATCAGTATCTCCCCGCTGTTATCTGAGCTTGAACACCCGGCTTTGGAAGGCACAAGACATTGTTTCCATTTTTCTATGAAAAAGGTAAATCATAGCTCCTAACCAATAACCATGCGACTCCAGCCGGACTCTTAGGAATCAATGACCGTTGCATCAGCGCAGTAAGGATGGACGGTATAGAACTCATATGCGAAGCTGGAGTGACTACATACTTGTAGATAAGCAGGAAGAAGAATTGTCTCTCTCTCTCTCTCTCTCTCTCTCTCTCTCTCTCTCTCTCTCTCTCTCTCTCTCTCTCTCTCTCTCTCTCTCTCTCTCTCTCTCTCTCTCTCTCTCTCTCTCTCTCTCTCTCTCTCATTCTCTCTCTCTCTCTCTCTCTCTCTCTCTCTCTCTCTCTCTCTCTCTCTCTCTCTCTCTCTCTCTCTCTCTCTCTCTCTCTCTCTCTCTCTCTCTCTCTCTCTCTCTCTCTCTCTCTCTCTCTCTCTCTCTCTCTCTCTCTCTCTCTCTCTCTCTCTCTGAAACTAAATCCACACAGTTCAACTCTGATTTCGTTTCAGGGTCGCGCCACTGCACGCCGAGCCACCGCTGCTACTACTGTCACTACGACTGCGAGTGCAATCATCTGCATGACCAGTGCAAACCGAGCCACCCATGCTATCGCAAATTACCGGGCTCGCACTCCGACTGTGATTGCAACCATGTGAAGCCGTGCAACCCGAAACACCCGTGCTGGCACAAATACACAGTGAAGAAGGGGCACAAGCAGCACAAGCGGATCTACGGCTGCAACTGCAACCACCTCCGCTGCAACCGCAAGCATCCGTGCTGGCACCGCCACTGCGACTGTTACTGCAAGCACCAGCATTGAGACGGGTGTCTGGTGAGACGCTCCCAACAGGCCGGCCCTGCCACCGTCCGACTTTGGACGCCGTGTGAATCTAGCTGCGTGTCGCGTGAATAAAGCTAAAATAAATCACGTAGCTCACTTTTCCGCCGTGTTATGTGTTATTCTGTAGTTACAGCTGCACATGAGCCTGTTTGTCTTATAATGGGGCTGTGGATCAAATACAACGGCATAAATGGTACGTGTGTTTTAACAAGCCCAAATGATTTGCATCATCTAGAATGGACAAAGGTATGATACTGACTAGCAGGTGCTGCGCACATCAGTGCCCGTGATCACGTATGTACAGTGCCACACAAACACTGGGGGATCCGGGGGGCCGGGGGGGGGGACAATCCAGCCATGCCCCTCGTCCCAAAAGCCTGAAAGAGGGCCAACATATCTTTTGCCCCCCCCCCCCCAAAAAAAAATCAAGAAAAATGGATGTGGCAAAGAAGCGCAGTATAGAGTGAGCAGAGTCTGATTGAATAACGTAGAGAAATAGCCGCATGCTTACTATCTTCAAAAGCCGTGAGTGCTTAGAGCAGTGGCGCGTGAACTTCTTTCAGGCTAAGGGGGAGGGGGCACACCTGATACCTCCTAGAATCTAGGGTACCCACAAATCTAGTTTTCTCACCGGTTTGGGCCACTTATTCTTCACCCGTTGGCCTTAAACGAAGAGAACAAAACGAAAACATTTGCAAAAAAATTGAGGTATTCCGTCTCTGCTTAGTCAAGAAACTACCTTTTCGGTGGTAGCTTGCAATAAAAATTTAAACCTGTCACAGGAGCTGTCGAATCAGGGAAAAGGGGAGATTTTTACATTTAACCCGCGCGGGGCTGGGGTCTCCAGCCGAACGCGCGGGGCTGGGGGGGGGGGTAAATTTTACCCCCCCTGTTATCTCCCGAACTAATGGTCCGATTTGGAAAATTCAAACGCCAATCGAAAGCTCTCATCACGAACTATTAAAAACATGTACTTAATTTAAAGTTTGAGGTCAAGGTCAAGGTCAGGTCAAGGGTACAAATTGCAAGTTTCTACAGTATCGGCCTTGTACCGTAGTTGCCGAAGAATGGAGTCATGGACTGAGACTGATCGCCCAAAACGTGTTCTTAGGCTACCAAGACAATATTCGTTGCATACAATATCATTCAGAGGTCAAGGTCAAGGTCAGGTCAGGTCAGGTCAGGTCACCAAAAAACAAAATATAGAAAAGGGCATGTGCGACACATGTTTTATGGGTCATTTTACTCATAGAATTCAATAGGCACACTCAATAAGTGATATGGACCACCTCTGGATGAATTTCAGGTCGAGGTCAGGTCAAGGTCAGGTCAAGTGAGGTCAAATTTTGAAGTTGGTTGTTAAGGCCTAAAAAGGTGTCTATCTGATGCAGTTTTTCACGGCGAATCGAATGGTGCTATTTTTGTTTCCGTACGAGGTCTAGAACTTCCAAAAAAAATCATTTTTCAAAATTTTTGTGTGTCGTGACGTCATAAAATTTTGAATAACTCCCACATTTTTGAACCGATTCTTCTAAAATTTGGTATATAGGTGCACAAAGACCACTTCTCTGACATATATTCCGGTTTTTTCGATAGACTCAAAATTTTGGATTTTATAATGATTTTCCCAAAAAAAACAGTTTTTTGAAAAAATTTAGGCCAAAATCCAAAATTTTCAAAAAACCGAGATAGCCATTTGATAGACAAAGTAAAATTACGTAAAACCTTTTTTGTTACGTCTTGATTTCTTTAAAAATGAAGATGTTAGCGGCGTTTGAACTTTTGCCGTTTTTGAGGCGAAAATGGCGAACATGACGTCACTAAAACGTCGATTGCTCAAAAATTTTCCGACGGATTTCGCTCAAATTTTCAGGGAAGGTGTCAAATTGATGTAAGAAAAGGTACTGAAAGTTTGGCGGCGCTGCGCGCCGCCGTTTTTGAGATATCGCAAAAATTCGCGAGGGGGGTAAAATTTACCCCCCAGCCCCGCGCGGGTTAACCCTCGCCCGCACATGCCATTTTCCCATCCTAGAACGCACATGGGGGGGGGGGGGTTGCCACCCCCCCGCGCCATTTCGTTCCTGTTGGAGATAGAGCTTCGCGGTAAAGACCAAAAAGATTTTCTGGGAAGAGACAAATCCAATGATACCCAGTTTTACCTTCTCAGGTAAGTCATTGACCTTCCAGGTCAGGTCAAACTAAAAAATGTTGCTGTTTTGGGTCACCGCTGGATATCAAGTGCGCTGCTTAGCATATACTGATGACGATGCCGTTTTCTGGTGCCAAGCCAGCTAGAACCTCTTAATCACACTACCCGACCAGGTTTTTGCTGCTGAGGTCATTTCAGGTCAAGTTAGGTCAAGGTCAATGATATGTGTTTGTATGTCTGTGTGTGTCTGTGTGTATAATGATGTGTGCACCGATTGTTTATGTGTCCATATTACATGAAATCATGATCTGAGAAGCTTTTACCAAAAATTCAGTCAAAAAACTTCACGAAAAGTAAGTTCAGCTTGCCTAACCCGCGCGGCGCTGGGGGGTAAATTTTACCCCCCCCCCCTCGCGAATTTTTGCAATATCTCAAAAACGGCGGCGCGCAGCGCCGCCAAACTTTTAGTACCTTTTCTTACATCAATTTGACACGTTCTCTGAAAATTTGAGCGAAATCCGTTGGATATTATTTGAGAAATTGACGTTTTAGTGACGTCATGTTCGCCATTTTCGCCTCAAAAACGGCAAAATTTCAAACACCGCTAACATCTTCATTTTGAAAGGAATCAAGACGCAACAAAAAAGGTTATACGTAATTCTACTTTGTCTATCAAATGGCCATGTCGTTTTTTGAACAGTCTGGATTTTGGCCCAAATTTTAAAAAAACTGACCTTTTTTGGGAAAATAATTATTAAATTCAAAATTTTGAGTTTATCGAAAAAAAAAACGAAATAAATGTCAGAGAGGTGGTCTATGTGCACTTACATACCAATTTTTAGAAGAATCGGTTCAAAAATGTGGGACCTATTCAAAATTGTATGACGTCACGACACACAAAAACTTTGAAAAAAGATTTTTTGGAAGTTCTAGACCTCGTACGGAAACAAAAATAGCACCATTCGATTCTCCGTGAAAAACTGCATCAGATAGACACCTTTTTAGGCCTTAACAACCATTTTCAAAATTTGACCTCACAATTGACCTGACCTTGACCTGACCTGGACCTGAAGTTCATCCAGAGGTGGTCCATATCACTTATTGAGTGTGCCTATTGAATTCTATGAGTAAAATGACCCATAAAACATGTGTCGCACATGCCTTTTTCTATACTTTGTTTTTGGTGACCTGACCTGACCTGACCTGACCTTGACCTTGACCTCTGAATGATATTGTATGCAACGAATATTGTCTTGGTAGCCTAAGAACACGTTTTGGGCAATCAGTCTCAGTCCATGACTCCATTCTTCGGCAACTACGGTGCAAGGCCGATACTGTAGACACTTGCAATTTGTACCCTTGACCTGACCTTGACCTTGACCTCAAACTTTATATCAAGTACATGCTTTTAGTTGTTCGTGATGAGATCTTTCGATTGGCGTTTGAATTTTCCAAATCGGACCATTAGTTCGGGAGATAACAGGGGGGGGGGTAAAATTTACCCCCCAGCACCGCGCGTTCGGCTGGAGACCCCAGCCCCGCGCGGGCTAAAGCGCAATTATTTTGGGTGACCTAGGTTGACCTTGACCCTGACCTTGACATCTGTACATCAACTGAGCAACATGTTCCATGATAGGTGGGAGGTAAGAATGGCAAAAAAAGGCCGAAACCAAGGTGTCAAAAGCTCACAAGGCCCATAGCCAACGCAAGATCAGTTGAGAATTGGTCATTTGGGTCATGACATGACCTGAAAAACAAGGTCATATCTCCGAAACCAAAAACCACAGAAACTTGAAATTTTCAGTGGACATCAAAAAAGATAGAGGAGCAGCTGTACGAAAAATCAGCCTACTAGCTCTAAAAATGTTGAGTGCAGAGCAGAAAAACTACCTGGGGGGGGGGGATGGCAACCCCCCACCCCATGTGCGGGCGAGGGTTAATGTTGTATGAGCGGCCGGCCGGCCGGCCGTTGGGACGCTCTTCAATCGGCTTCGGTGACTGCGACCCTGAGTGTGATTCATATATAGGACTGGGAGATGGCGCTTCCTTTAACCCGCGCCCCAGTGGCGGTCTCAGCCAACTTAGCCCTAGTAGGGGGGGGGGGCATATGTTACCACCCACATCTAACTCAAAAACTAAGAGGGCTAGAAAGACGCGGTAAAAAGCAATCGATAGCTCTCAATGCGTACGTTTGAAAGTATTTCGGTCATTTTTCATCTTAGAGCAATATTGGAGTCACTGGAGGTCATCAAAGGTGAAAATTTGCCAAATGTCGTTATATTTTTCCAAAAACATGCATTTATCTCAGGAAATATGATAGTTAGAAAAACGCATTGAAACGCAATCGATAGCTCTTGAACTCTTCTTTCGATAAGGTCATCATCGCAATTGACCTCAGGTCAACGGTTTAGCCTCCAGAGGGCAAAAACTCCAAAAATAGCTGTTTTTACGAAAAGCGTTTTTCAATCATAACTTTTGACTCAAAAACGCCATGACATTTCTATTGCCAGAATCGTGTTCCTCTCGCCGAGACGCATCTCGCCGAGACGAATGAACTATAATTTGACCTTGCAAGGTCAACTTGAAAATTTGACCTCAGGTCAAGGTCATGACCTGACCGGAAAAGGTAATGCTGCATATCAGTCGATGCGTCTCGGCAAGACAAACACAATGAGACCATCCCCAGCGTTCTATCTCTTTCCAATCGAGAGTTATTGGCAAAAATCTGTTTGTAGCCTCAAATGACCTCGGATGACCTTTCTAGAGGCTATCAGCAAAAACGACACCTTGGTCGTCACGGGTGGTCCAAATCATTGTGATTCTGAAATATTTGGACTGTTCCTATGCGTACACACGGATCTAGAGGCATTTTCATTTTTCTCCATTGACTTATAATGTATTTATTTATTTATCTATTTCACATTACAGACATGTCCGTGGAAACACGGCTATTCTATGTCCAAGTCGTTGTGCATATACAAATCGAATGGGATATGACAACAGTCACCGCAATCATTCACACATTCACCCTCATCACGTGTGCTAACTAGGACAGCTAAGTGGCTCGCTCGCGGTCAAACAAGTGCTCCCTCAGTGCCGGCTTGAATCGAGCCTGACTGAGAGCGCGCAGGTCCGCCGGCAGCTCGTTGTACCCTGACACCGCAGAGTACAGAAAACGGCAACGTCCGGACTCTGACCTGACAGTGGGGGTCACAAGCATGTCGTTGTACCTGGTATCCCGCCCGTGTACACTCTGCCGGGTGACTAGACAGGTGGCGAACTGCTGCGGCTCTGACGTGGCCAGCATTTTGTTCACCAGCACGATAGATTGGTACCTGAACAAGCTCTCGGTGTTAAGCCAGCCGAGTTCGTTGATAACATCGCTCACCCGATCATACTTCCTACGGCCTGAGACGACTCGTGCAGCAAACCTAACCAGCTTTTGAAGTCGTTTGCGCTGGGTTACATTGCTGGCACCGTAAACGGACAGACAGTACCTAATAATCGACAAGACGAGCCCCTGCACCAACGTTACCATGACTGTCGCTGGGAGACTGTGTCTACTGTGACTCAGGCCACACAATGGTAATGGTAAGGTCACGCCACTGACCTGACCTTAGGTCACGGATATAACAAATCCGAGATATACAAATTGTACGCGCCCATAACATCATGCAATCCACCAAGTTTAAAACCTTTCTAACAAAGACTGCAGGCTGGACATGATTGCAAACTTTTTTAGGCTTGGTCAGTTAACTTGACCTGGTGACCTGACCTGACATGACCTAGGGTCAAAAATTTCACACATTGTCCAAAATTGATGTGCGAAAAGCTACCCCAAGCGGCGCGGAGCTACGCGCCGCGGTTTTTTATTCACACGCGAAAAACGCGACAGGGTGGTAACATATGCCCCCCCACTCCCCCCCCCCCCACTGGGGCGAAGGTTAAAGGGACCCTCCCACCTTCAAAAAAGTTAATGAATTGCATGAAAGTGATGTCGCTAAGTTCAGAAAGAGCGAAAACGAATATCTACCAAATTTCATCGAAAAATATTCACCGGTTTTCAAGATATTAGACTTTTACTTTTGTTTACTTTTTGGGTTCTCCGCTGTTCCTAGCGACTTTATTTGAAGGTGCGGCATTTGTTGCGCGCAAAGCAGCATATACCACCGCGTGCTACAAAACGTTTTAGTCAAACATTTAAAAATCGTTAGATATCTGCGCTGACGTCACACATTCAGAGGGGTATTCCTATGCATTAGCCCCTCTGAATTAAAATGCTGCAATTTTGAAATTCAATATTTCCGATTTAAGGCATTTCTCGATGTTGTGAGTGCTGAAACCGGTAATTGTGAGCCAGGGACCCCATTTTGGCTATCTCAACTCAAATCTAATGTTAAGGTGGGAGGGTCCCTTTAACCCGCGCGGGGCTGGGGGGGGTAAATTTTACCCCCCCCTCGCGAATTTTTGCGATATCTCAAAAACGGCGACGCGCAGCGCCGCCAAACTTTCAGTACCTTTTCTTACATCAATTTGACACGTTTCCTGAAAATTTGAGCGAAATCCGTCGGAAAATTTTTGAGAAATTGACGTTTTAGTGACGTCATGTTCGCCATTTTCGCCTCAAAAAACGGCAAAAGTTCAAACGCCGCTAACATCTTCATTTTTAAAGGAATCAAGACGTAACAAAAAAGGTTATACGTAATTTTACTTTGTCTATCAAATGGCTATCTCGGTTTTTTGAAAATTTTGGATTTTGGCCTAAATTTTTTCAACAAACTAACTTTTTTGGGAAAATCATTATAAAATCCAAAATTTTGAGTCTATCGAAAAAACCGGAATATATGTCAGAGAAGTGGTCTATGTGCACCTACATACCAATTTTTAGAAGAATCGGTTCAAAAATGTGGGAGTTATTCAAAATTTTATGACGTCACGACACACAAAATTTTGAAAAATGACTTTTTTGGAAGTTCTAGACCTCGTACGGAAACAAAAATAGCACCATTCGATTCGCCGTGAAAAACTGCATCAGATAGACACCTTTTTAGGCCTTAACAACCAACTTCAAAATTTGACCTCACTTGACCTGACCTTGACCTGACCTCGACCTGAAATTCATCCAGAGGTGGTCCATATCACTTATTGAGTGTGCCTATTGAATTCTATGATTAAAATGACCCATAAAACATGTGTCGCACATGCCCTTTTCTATATTTTGTTTTTTGGTGACCTGACCTGACCTGACCTGACCTTGACCTTGACCTCTGAATGATATTGTATGCAACGAATATTGTCTTGGTAGCCTAAGAACACGTTTTGGGCGATCAGTCTCAGTCCATGACTCCATTCTTCGGCAACTACGGTGCAAGGCCGATACTGTAGAAACTTGCAATTTGTACCCTTGACCTGACCTTGACCTTGACCTCAAACTTTAAATTAAGTACATGTTTTTAGTAGTTCGTGATGAGAGCTTTCGATTGGCGTTTGAATTTTCCAAATCGGACCATTAGTTCGGGAGATAACAGGGGGGTAAAATTTACCCCCCCAGCCCCGCGCGTTCGGCTGGAGACCCCAGCCCCGCGCGGGTTAAAGCTGAATTACTCAGTATTCTATCGGCTGAGCATTTACGCAACTTGAGATGATTTTGTTCTTTTGTGTGGCAGTACAGCTGATCACGGACAGTTACTTGCGGAGCAGCTGTTAGTACCTATCATACATTTGTCCATTTTATAAAGATGCACATCAGTTGGACGCATTATAACACAGATACCAAATAAAGAGCTGTATTTGATCCACAGCTAGCACCATTATAAGGTAGGCGCTAGCTGACAGACTTTTGTGCAGTTGTAACTACAGAATAACCCATAACACGGCGGAAAAATAAGCTACGTGATTTATTTTAGCTTTATTCACGCGACACGCAGCTAGATTCACACAGCATCCAAAGTCGGACGGTGGCAGGACCGGCCTGTTGGGAGCGTCTCACCAGACACCCGTCTCAATGCTGGTGCTTGCAGTAACAGTCGCAGTGGCGGTGCCAGCACGGATGCTTGGCGTTGCAGTAGCCAAGGTGGTCGCAGTCGCAGTCGTAGACAATTTTCTTGCTTCCCTTCACCTTGTGGCCGTGCCAGCACGGATGCTTGGAGTTGCATGGCTTCAGGTGGTTGCAGTTGCAGTCGTAATCTGATCCGTGTTTGTGATAGCATGGGTGACTCGGTTTGCACTGGTCATGCAGATGATTGCACTCGCAGTCGTAGTGACAGTAGTAGCAGCGGTGGCCCGGCCCACAGGGGCGCGACTCTGAAACGAAATCAGAGTTGAACTGTGTGGATTTAGTTTCAGAGAGAGAGAGAGAGAGAGAGAGAGAGAGAGAGAGAGAGAGAGAGAGAGAGAGAGAGAGAGAGAGAGAGAGAGAGAGAGAGAGAGGGAGAGAGTGTGAGAGAGAGAGAGAGAGAGAGAGAGAGAGAGAGAGAGAGAGAGAGAGAGAGAGAGAGAGAGAGAGAGAGAGTGGGGAGGGGAGAGAGAATTTCTCTTCCTGCGTATCTATGTAGGTGCGTGGAAGTCACTACAGCTTCGCAGACAGGGTTGGGTAGATAAATTGGGACAAATTTCATTTCTGTACTACTGATCCATTAAATGGCGGATATTTTTAAAGCTTAGTCATAATATTGACTAAATATTTTTTTTTATTTCACGTGCTGATAATTTGTTGGTAATAAGTAGGCCATCAGCCACGGAGGGAAGACAAAGACAGACGATTACAGATTTATTCCGCGCGGGCCAGACCCACAAGGCCATATTTAAGGTCACCGGGTTTCCCCCGATCGACAGTGTACCGTACTGTGGCAAAACTGGAGGCTGGGGGCGATGCCTCCCGAGCCATCCACAAGCGTCGCAACGATGTGAAGCTAACCACGTGGTTCCTGGCTGACCCAAAAAGGTCAATCCTCGCAAATCCGAGGACCCCTCTGACCAAGCTGGCTCGTGACCGGCACGTAAGTCACAGTACCGTAAGGAGGACAGTAAACGGTGTCCTCGGCATGCGGTGTTACGTCAGGAGACAAAAAAAAAAACCTGCTGACTGATAAAGCAAAGCAGTTGCGAAGGGAGCGTGCGCAGCTGTTACTGAACCACCTTAAGAAGCTAAAAGGTCGCGTGACAGTCTTTGTTGACGAGAAAAATTTCACTGTTGACGAAGCAGCTAACCGCCAAAACGCTCGGTTAACCCTCGCCGGCACAGGCCATTTTGCGTCCTTCGACGGCACAAGGGGGGGGGGGGGGTTGGTACGACCCCCCTCGCGTTTGGCCCCTGATCGAGCTAGAGCTTCACGGAAAAAGGAGCGTGTTGCCCGTCACGAGAGAAGGCCGATGATACCCAATTTTAAGGTCCTAGGTCATCGGGTGACCTTCCAGGTCAGGTCAATGACCCGAAAACCGGGAAAATCGGGACCTGTTAGAAAGTCGTAAAGTGTGGCTGCTATGTGGTTTTCCGGGGTGCTGATTACGAATATCGTGTTAGTTTTGATCAGAGATGATGTCTTTAAGCATTTAGACCAGGTCGGGTCAGGTCAGGTCAGGTCAACCGGTAGGGGTTGTGACGGGTATTCGTAATACGTGTCAACCGCCTCTAACAGCTTCGTGACATGTTACGAAGGTACCAAAACTACTTCGTAAATGTTCAAATGGTTGCTAAATTCGAATTCAGCTCCAAAAACTAGCCTAGAAAGTAGAAACATGTAAAACTCGAAAAAGTGAACCGAGGTCACCCGAGGTCACCAAAGGTCAAGGACCTGACCTGACCTTCAGGTGACCTTGACACCCACCCTAATGTATGGAAGCAACATCAAATCACATGTTTGAACGTTTGAAACCACGAAAAGCTTGCAAACGCGCGGCTAATGCGAGCCGACATACGCCGAATCGCGATTCCGGCCAAACATGGTCTCGGAAAAGAGGTCACAGGTCAAAGGTCATTTTGGTCAGGGTCATGAAATTTTCAGGGTAGGTGTAAAATTGATCAATGCGAGAGTACTGAAAGTTGCGTCGCGATCGGCCGCTTCTTACGCGAGTTATTCGCGAAAAACCTTAGGGGGGGTTGCATCAACCCTCCTGTGCCGGCGAGGGTTAATCGCAACGAATCCCGAGGGAGTCTCAACAGTGCTGAGAAGCAAGCACCCCGCCTCAGTGATGGTGTTAGGGGCAGTGGCTGGCGATGGGCGAGCCATGCCCCCTCACTTTGTACCCGCTGGGCTGAGGGTCAGTACCAACGAGTACCTCACCATCTTGGAAGAGGTTCTGATCCTCTGGTTGGAGCATCACTACAGTCTGGACCAAGTGGTACTCGTCCAAGACTCTGCCCCGGCTCACACAGCGACGGAGGTGCAAGATCTCCTAAAGCGGAAGATCTCGAAGTTCGTGCCGAAAGAGAAATGGCCTCCTCACTCGCCAGACCTCAACCCCTGCGATTTCTGGCTGTAGGGCGTGGTCGAGGAGAAGGCCAACGATCGCCATCGAAACGGCGCCGTCAGCCTCAAGACGGCCATCCGGCGAGCAATGGCGTCCATTTCTCGCGATGAGGCTCGGCGCGCGTGCGCACGTTTCAGGCGCCGTGAAAAGCAGGTCAAAGCAGCGGAGGGAGGTCACATCGAGTGAACGTGTGCAAGATAGACACATAAGTGCATGTTCAAAGTTTGAGAGTTTTGTGCGTTCATACGCCTGAGTTAAAAGCGATCGAGTTTCTCCCAATTTATCTGCCCAAACCTGTATGAGTTATATATCGTCCATCCTTACTGAGCTGATGCAACGGTGATTGATTAAAGTCCGGCTGGAGCGAAAATGATTTACTTTTTTACAGAAAAGTGGAAACAGCTGTGCCTTCCTGAGGAGTGTTCAAGCTCAGCTAGCAAGGGGAGATACCGATTCAAGTGAAATGCTATCAATGAATATGCTATATCTATAAAGTTCGTCGTCTTCGACAAATGAACGGCTCCAAATTCAATTTTGTAGGAAAAGGCCATAACCTATATTTAGGTGTTCGGAATCTCAACGAGTCTAAGCGCCTACAATTTGTCATTTCGGATAGCGAGGCAAGGAAAAAATAACTCGCCTTTCAGCAAACGATACCTTACAAGTCTTAAAGTTAAAAAAAGAATAGTTAGCTTATTCAAAACCTGTGTGCTGAATGTATAGAAATACCAACTCAGTTTCGGATCATGAAATGAATTAAATACGACTGTTCTACTTACTGTGGCCGTGATCATGTCCGTGACCCTCATGAGCATCGACCGACACGTAAAGTACTGCCAAAACTGTGGCCAGGCACAAAGCAAGTACAGAGCTCTTCATGATTACAACGTTATTCTGATCGCTGTGCAACGCATTAATGGAGACCTGTGGCGCACATGCCTGTTTTATATTATTTGTGAATGACCTTTTCACGTTGACCGGTGGGTGGGACGTCAGCAGAAAATGATCACAGAAGGTCAGTGGATGACTGTCCACCTCGCAACTGACCGACGGCGCAGTAGTATGACGAGCCTGGGGGCGGGGCCATTGGCTGTCCCGTATCCAGGAAACTGAGAATTTTAAAACATTTCATATTAATGAAAACGTTTGACATTTTGATTGCACGTTAGGCGGTGAAGGCATGATTTCGGAGTCAAGGCAATCTATCGAAAGGAAAGCATTTAGTCAGTTTATAGGTCATGTTTATAAGCCGTGGACCTCCTGGCGTCTTTCTACGATAAAAAATCCAAGAGGCACATTTTCTAAATTGTGCCAAGAATAATAATGTCCCCTGATTCTTAAAAGCAAAATGAGATACGCGTTAAAGGTGTTTAAAGCATGGGTAATTTTTCGTCTTACATATCATTTAGCAAATAAAAGGGACAAAAGATGCCGACTAATATGAGCCGCTTCGATGTTGTATTCTCTTGGCGATGACCACGCTGGATCTGAGGGGATTGCGTGGCTACGTCCATATGCGATGTTCGTTTGTTTTGCTATTAACACCGTAGAGCCGGTCTCAGTCTGGATCGGATGGTATTATATAATACTGAACGAGGCCGGTGTAAATAAATTTTCAAGACCGAGGTCCTTACTGGATTTTTGAACGAGGCCGAAGGCCGAGTTCAAAAATCAGTAAGGACTGAGGTCTTGAAAATTTATCACCGGCCGAGTTTGGTATGTATTTTACTGTATGCCAACGAAAAATTTATTTTCTGGACCGAAGCTCTTAGCCGACTTAGGAACGAGACCATCCCAAATATTGGCTTAAGTGCATTCTGGTAATGCATTTTTGACCGTGGTCAATTTGCTTACACCAGTTATTACCACACCCCTCTGGCTAATGTATTTGAATAGGCCAGGCATACAGTAAGTTCTGATATGTTCATATGATTATGATTTGATATGATTCCCTCCTGATATGTTCACCAGTCACCACCCACCAAAGGAAACTCACAAAAAATCAGCTCTTGTCTGTTTGGTATAGGTAGGTGAGGTTATTGCGTCGAATAACTCGGTTTGTTGGATTGTTGACTTACATACTCGTGCATCAATGGTGACGTAAAATGTCGCGATGATGGTAGCGATACACGGGACAAGCAGCGTATGCTTCATGATGGCGATTCTATGTAAGAGGTTGAAGGTTGTATTAGGCGTCACCAGTAGCAGCCGCCGCTGAACGGGCCAGTTTATGTGGATTCTTCAAGGCCTGTTCAGGCCAACAAGTTAATGCGACATAAGTGGAGGGTTGACAAATGTCGGCCGTTGTTTTCTCAGTCGATGCTTACCGGTATTTATGGCTGTCGGAGTGGCGTGTCGACTGTCGACTGTTGAGGTTGAGCGCCCGAGCCCCTATTACAGTCGAAACCCGCAGTCGAATGCAATGCATTACAAATAAAATGTGCATTACGAGTTTTTCAGTCCAGCAATAAATTCGTGTGATGGTTGACGGAATCTTGTTTGCTGTAAATAGATTCGTGTGCCTGGTTGTCGTAGTAACCAGGTGCTGAGACATCGCGCAGCAAAAGTGACACTGCAAGTTCGACCTAGCGCCGGGTGACTCTGCTGTTGATAACCTGCGGCTGCAGCCGGCAGTCTGGTCTCACTATAATGTATGCCTGCTACCAACATGCCGAAAGACTGTGACTGCCTGCCAAGTACATGAATATGACTCGGACGAGTCCAATGACAGTAGTGAGGAGTACAGTGAGTCGGTTTCTTGGCGATTTGCGTGGGAAGTTTTTTTTTGTGTGTGCTGGATGGCTCACCCAACATTCACCGGTGTCGCTTCATAACATAGAATAACCTAAGGCACCCCCAAATATATAGTTTTCTCACCCGTTTTAGTGAAAAGTGGCCGTTTTAGGCCACTTTTTTGCCCATTGCATCAGTAAGAAAAACGTTAACATTTGCAAAAATAGAAGAACCTATTCCGTCTCAGCTGAATCAAGTAATTACCGTTTGGTAACTTGGAACAAAGGTTGAATTATATGAATAGCATATCTGATCACCACGCCGTCGGAATTTTGTCTGGACAGACCCATCCTGAATCATGAGTTCTATCAGGAGCGGAGGGCCCACGCTAGCTTCCGAAGGCCCCTTATGCTGACATCTGAAGCCTCTTGCGCTGGTCACCGATGGCCCTAAGGCAACCTCCGACGACGAAATCCACATGTCCCCTATGATCACTTGCGGGCCACTTACAGGGCCCGAGAGGTAAAGGCCCCTGAAGACTCCAAGCCGACATCAAAGTGGCCATCCCACCCTAACACTGGAATTTGGATTTGAGTTGAGATAGTCAAATTGACGTCCCCAGCTCACAATCACCGGTTTCGGCACTCGTATCACCGATAAATGTCCTAAATCGTAAATATTTAATTTCAAAGTTGCAGCACTTGGATTAAGAGGGACTAATGCAGTTGAATGCCCCCTCTAACTTTGCGATGTCAGCGCAGATCTGCAATGTTTAAAGCTTATACAAAAACCTTGGTAAAAGACACTTGTTGCTGTGATGGTAAATACTGCTTTGTTAAAAAGCTGAAACTCTGCTTGAGGCTCATGATGAATAATAATAATATAAGAATAACCAGTAACCTCATAATATAAATCAGAAATAGGAGCCAAAAGGTTATATTTAAAGTTATCGAATATTTCGCTCCTGGAGCTTCGTCAGCGATAATTACAGAAAAACATATACGTTTTAAACATGGAACAACAAAGAACACTGCAGAATAAATAGCAAACTCATGCTACACTTCGCAAGGGACCGACATTTTTGGCGAAGTTTGAATAGGTACAATATGAATGTATGTATACAGTGTACGTATTTACAATATACACGTGTATAGGTACAATAAACAATAGCTTTACATACAAACATAATCGACTACATGTGCACTGCATACATTACACATAATATCATCAATTATTCACATGTGATTGTTATAACAATCACATGTGAATAATTGATGATATTATGTGTAATGTATGCAGTGCACATGTAGTCGATTATGTTTGTATGTAAAGCTATTGTTTATTGTACCTATACACGTGTACATTGTAAATACGTACACTGTATACATACATTCATATTGTACCTATTCAAACTTCGCCAAAAATGTCGGTCCCTTGCGAAGTGTAGCATGAGTTTGCTATTTATTCTGCAGTGTTCTTTGTTGTTCCATGTTTAAAACGTATATGTTTTTCTGTAATTATCGCTGACGAAGCTCCAGGAGCGAAATATTCGATAACTTTAAATATAACCTTTTGGCTCCTATTTCTGATTTATATTATGAGGTTACTGGTTATTCTTATATTATTAAATACTGCTTTGAGCGTAACATCTGTCGCACTTTCAAGATACCAAATTATTGCTTCCAAATGACGTCATAGGAACAGCGGAAGCCCCCAGAAATAAAAAAGTGAAAGTCTAATATTTATAAAACTAAGGAATATTTTCCGGTGAAATTCTGTAGACATTCATTTTTGCTCTTTCTAAACCACAGTACATTACTTTTGTGCCAATTCATTAACTTTTTTGAAGGTGGGGGGGGGGATTCCCTTTAAGGAATCCTTAGATAGCCTCTGAGCACCTTCATCTCACCTCAACCTACACACAAACCTGCCCCTGATAACACGCCACCAGCCTGCGAGAGCCCCATACCATAAATCAGGGCCTCGTCTAAGGAATTTTCACTGGGGGGCAGACTGAAGGAGCCCGACCTAGGGTACCACTACCACCCCCAAATCCTGTTTTCTCACCGGATTTCGGCCACTTGTTTTTCATCACAGCCCTGAGACCATCATTAAAAAAAAAAAACAGGCGATCCGAGCCAACCCTAACCCTCGCCCGTATACATGAGGGGGAGGGGGGTGGTCGCCCCTCGGTTTTTCGCAAATAACTCGCGTAAAAAGCGACTGATTGCGACGAAACTTTCAGTTTCCTCACGCTCATCAATTTCACATCTACTCTGAAAATTTCATGACCCTGACCCAAATGACCTTTGACCTGTTACTTACTTTTCGAGACCATGTTTGGCCGGAATCGCGATTCGGCGTATGTCGGCTCGCATTAGCCGAACGTTTGCAGTCTTTTCGTGGCTTCAAGCGTTCAAACATGTGTAATGATGTCGGTCCCATGCATTCGCCCCAGTGGGGGGGGGGGGGGCATATGTTACCACCCTGTCGCGTTTTTTTTTTGTGTGTGAATAAAGCGCCGCTCGGATTATCTTTCTGTACATCAATTTTGGACAATGTGTGGAATTTTTGACCCCAGGTCATGTCAGGTCAGGTCACCAGGTCAAGTTAACTGACCAAGCCTAAAAAAAGTTTGCAATCATGTCCAGCCTGCAGCGTTTGTCAGAGAGGTTTCAGACTTGGTGGATTGCATGATGTTATGGGCACCTATAATTTGTAGGTATGTCTCGGATTTTTTTTATATCTGTGACCTAAGATCAGGACAGTGGCGTGACCTTTCCATTATAGGTCATTGGAGAAAAATGAAAATGCCTCTAGATCCGTGTGTACACATAGCAACAGTCCAAATATTTTAGAAGCACAATGATTTGGACCACCCGTGACGACCAAGGTGTCCTTTTTGCTGATAGCCTCTAGAAAGGTGATCCGATGTCATTTGAGGCTACAAACAGATTTTGCCAATAACTCTCGATTTGAAATAGATAGAACGCTGAGGATGGCTTCATTGTGTTTGTCTTGTCGAGACGCATAGATTGATATGCAACATGACCTTTTTGGGTCACCATGTGACCTTGACTTGAGGTCAAAATTTGACCTTGACCTTACCAGGTAAAAAATATATGTTTCGAGCGACTGAAGGAGAAAAATACGATAGTGCCATTGCCAAATCTTCATATTCGCTGGTTCGAAAGTTATTTGT